CACACCACGGGTGTTACCGTGCTCGCATCGACAGCCTGTGGAGCTTTGGCGAGACGGGTCATGCAACCAAGGTTATCAAGGTGGTAGACACGAAATGCGATTTGAAAATGTGTCCATTGACAAGGGTTAACATTGAAGATAACTAACGTTAGGGATGATGTTGAGGCCTCAGAAACATGTTTTTACACATCGCGGATGCTTCATGCAGTAATTGGACAAATGGTTGGATCATCATCGGCCGCCAACTAACTACGCCTACACACTTGTAACTAACGCTGGAACTAGACTTTGGAGACTGCGCCACGACACGGCAAATTGGGTTCTGACTAATGGGCAAGTGCAACCGCGCGCACCAGTGGTTGGCGACGCCGGATACGCGTTTTTAAGGGTACCCTTCCATGTATAACACGTAGGTCCCCTCATGCAATTGACCATCAAAATCGCGTTGTATCCGGTCGACCCCGAGTAGGGGGGCTATGTAAAACAATAGCCAATCCAACGCCGCCTTTCTCGCGCCTCTTCAAGATACATGGACGACGACGACGGGAAGCGGTCGCTCTTCAGTGGTATGCGCGTGCGGAGTATGACGCCGACGAAGGCCCCGCGGTCACCCGCACGGAACTTTCGAGACATGTGGACTGGCGCCCGCAGCGGCGAGGCCAAGCCGCCCAAGGCCAAGCGCCAGTGGTTCTTCGACTCGGAGGCGGCCAAAGAGCCGCTTGAAGCCTCCATTGTGACCGAGACCGGCGACGACGACGACGAGAACGACGGGTTACGGGGGCATAGCGCGCAAGCCTTTCAACTCGTCGAGTCGTGGTGCAAGGCCAATGACGTGGCATTTCCAATCGCTGAGAAGAGCAGTCGCCGCGAGATGCAGATGGCGCTGGATCTCATGCTCGCGTCGATCGACGAGCAAGACAACCAGCTCTCAAGCGAGATCCTCGAGCTCGACGCCAAAGTCCAAACCGTCCGACGACCGAGCGCCCGACACGGGCTTCCGTCGCCGTTCCAGGTAGTCTCTTCGTGTTGACCTCAGATAATCGTAAATTTCGATAGATTCGACTGCCCGAGACTGACACGAGCTCGGTCAGCCACGGAGGCTGTCCGATCTTGGACACGCTCGTCATCGTTGGTCCCGACGTTACCGACATTGCCATTTGCCCGTCGCTGCTCGAGACGGTCTTTGAGCCGGTCGTGTGCGCCACGTACCCCCGCCCCGCGCAGTTCGAAAGTCTCCAGCACTTTTGCTTTCCTAACGGCATCCGCGTGCTCTCGGACGCGGACGACGAGAGGTACATTATTGTCATTGGATGTCATATCCCGTCAATATGTGCACCTAGTTTAGCGCCATCCTTTTTTCTATTTGTCTTGTCTGGTGGCGGCGACGTCGGCCAGGACATGCACTATGCGAGCTGCCTCGTGCGCTGGCTTCCGCTGCCCAAGGACGTGGCCTTGCAGCCCCACGCATTGAGCGTCCACGTGCCGATCGCATACTGCGTCGTGTCCAAGCTCCCATGCTGGAGCTTCTACAAGCCGCTCCTGCAGCACCTTCATGGTACCAGTCCCTCCATAGCAATTTCATTCGAATATATATGAGCGCAGACTTGCACGACGCCGAGCTGGTCGACGCCCCCCATTTGTGGCATGACCTTAGCACCGTTGTACCACCCAAGGTGCGCTAGTTTCAACTTGATCTCGTGACGACGGTCGGACACCGCAACATTGTCTAGCTCGAACACCTCTTGTCCAGCAAGCTCGGTCAGTTCACGGAGCTTCTGGTGCCACCACCCGGCCATGTCCTCGACGTTCCGCTCTTCGAGTCGAATGCGCGCTTGCATCTCAAGCGCCCCGCGCACCGCCGGAGCCTCGCGCATTTTGGCCACAAGGAGGAATGCACGGGGCTGCTCTTGCAGTGGGCGCTGCCGATCGTGCTGGACTGCGTCTCGATCGATACGTTTCTCATTGCGTGGACGAGTCTTATGCTTGAAGCCAAAGTTGTCGTGGTCTGCGACGACCTCGAGGTATTGACGTCGACGGTCCTCGGCCTTGTCTCGCTCCTCTCCCCCCTCACGTGGGCGGGCCCTGTCATTGCCGTGCTCCCCACGACGCTGCTCGAGTACCTCGAGGTGGCCAATTTTTCTATCAATGTATCAGGCTACAAATGCGATTTGGGTGTAGGCCCCCGTGCCCTTTCTCATCGGCGTTCAAGAACTCCCGACCCGATTCCACGATATTCCTGGCCTTGTGCGCGTGTACCCACTCGACGACTGTGTGCTCTGGGACGAGCCCGAGACGCTGCCGCAGCACGACATGCTCGCCGACGAGCTCGGCGCGGTCGTGGGTGTTCACGAGCCATGGACCGCGAGTGCCGTCGATAGTTTTGCCCACCAGATCTACGCCGTCGTCCAGTCGCTCCTAGAGCCGCTCGAACCAACGTCACCACACGCCATTGCGACCCAGATCCAGTCGACACAAATGTACCAGATATTGCTCGAGAAGCGCAGTGCGCATCGCCACTTGCCAGTGCTCCTGGACCCAGTGTCGGAGCCGAACAACAACTACAACCACAGCAATCACACCACCAACAACCACACCAGCATCGACAATCAAGATGAAGTGCATTGGAGCGCGTCCCTCGATGCGTGTACGGCCGGTATCATGCATTTGGCGCTTCACGGGGCGTATGCACCACCGAGTATCGAACCCGGACCCTCCATGTCGGCACTGGACCGCCTGCGCGGGCTCTGCGCGCGGGAGGAGCCCAAGCATGTGACCGTCGTCATCAAGAATGTTGTGGCGCTTCCATCGCCCAAGCCAAAACCCGTCTCCGTATCGCATTCTATCAACATCAGCAGCAATAGCAGTAGCAGTAGCCACAAGGCACCGATAACGCAGGCGCCCAAGACGCATCGCTCGGCGTCGCCTATCAAAGAGCACTTCAAGCCACGCGACATAGCGCCCAAACCAGGTACGCTGTCCTCATTGCTGGTGCAAAGTGCAAATGAGCGTAGACGACCCTGCACCGATGAAGCGTCGACCATCGAAGTCAAGCCCGTTCGTCGCTTCAGAAGTGGCCCTCGAGCTAGAATCCACTCGCGTTGCCGATGAAGCGTCCTTGCAGCGCGTACCGAGTGTGCGCGAGACCGAGATCGAGGCGCTCGAGCCGCCTCGGCTCTCGCGAGACGAGTCGATTCAGCACATTCAGCGCTGGTGGCGTCGACGCAAACCGTCGGTGCCCACCCCCGTCGCACCCAGCGTGCCAAGGTGCACGCCTGCGCCGGTGAAGCCATCGCTCTCCCGCCGCTTCTCTGCGCCCCTCGTCTCCACCGGGCACACGCCCTTGTTTTGCACGCCATTCAACACGCAAAGTGCCATCGCGCTCCTCCTCGAAGGCGTCGCCGTGCTCAAGGTAGCCAATACCCTAACCCCATGCAGCTAACGACCTCAAATCTAGTTGAGTCGGCGCCGCCACCACTGGAACAAACGCTGGCTCTTCTGCGACTTCAGCGGTGAACACTTGTTCTGGGAAAAGACCGAGTCCCGGAGCAAGACGACGACAAAAGCTCCGATGCGCGTGAATGACATACTCGAGGTTGCGGTCGGTGCCGATCGCAAGCCCTCGACGTACCTTCGAACGGTCAACACGCTCTTTGCGACGACGAGCGTGGAGACAGAACTGCTCGTGTCCCCCACGGGCGAGCGACTGCCGCCCGACGACCTCTGCATCACGCTGCACACAACGCTGGACGACAGTGCGCTCGTGTTCAAATTCGAGTCGAAAGAGGTGTACGATCGCGTGTTGGTCGGCCTCCAGGCCCTCTACAAGCAGCAACACAGTGCACCGCCACGCGACCACGATATTACGACAAGCAGCGATCGGTTCTCGACGCGGTCGTCAGAGCCGATCGACGACGAGCGTGCGACACTCGAGCGCTTTCTTCTCGACCTGAAACGCGGGTTCTGCATCAAAAAGGTAGTTGCCACCGTGATACGAGTCGTCAACAATGTGATTTTTCGGATGTAGCACGGACGCCAAGGCGCACCGCACACTCGTATGCTGCGCTGCGACGCCGAGGTCAAGATCGTGTCGTGCATCGAGATGGAGGGTTCGTCGCCAATGAAACCGCACCCCTGGCGCAGCCGCAAAGACAAGACGAAGAAGACGATTCTTCCTATCGACACCATCTCGGATGTTCATCTAAAGGACGGACATAGCCCGCTGCGAAACCTCTTGTACGGCCGCGTCGAGTGCATCGCGATCGTGAGCTCGGTCAAGACTCTCGTCGTTAGCACTGAGAGTAGCGCCGACCTCGCACGGCTCCTCGACGGCTTCCAGCTCCTCATCAAATACTACGGCACGCACACTGTCGGTACCAACACCGGGACCAAAGCCAGCGTCTAAGATAGTGCAGAATCAAGCGGTGAGGGTTTTGATGCTCCAAACCTGCCCAAAAATGCAGTTTCATCCATTTCCTCCACAGCAAGCGCTCACATACTACCTAACGCGATGGGCGTCCCAGCGAGCGTCGACGACTCGGTCCATGTCCTTCATCGCTACTTGGCACATGGCTGGGCCATGGCTGGTTGGACGAAGCGTGCGCGGCCAACTATATGGCGCTCGCTCGCTTTCTTCTCGACACCCGAGCACGCGTTTCGATAGCTCGGCGCTCATAAGAGCCATCGTGAACAAAGGGTAGGACATCGTGGCCCACAGCGCAATGCAAGTCTCGCATGATGCCGTCAAGTTTGCACTGCAAGTCGGCAACCTCGACCTCGTACAGTATCTCCTTGGGCGCCACCCAGAGCTCCGCGACGACGTTGAGTTATCATCTGACCGACGCGACCCGATTCCTCCTTGCGGCTGGCATTGACACGCCGCGCGAATGCCTTGTCTGCATTGCGGGGTTTCGAGAGCTTGTGTTTGAGAGGAAGCTCTTGCTGCCATACTACATCGATGCGACGTACGTCCTTGACCATGTCATGTTTCTTCTCGACCTCTTCGCGCTGCCCAACCGCCGCCTCGCGACGGCTCGCCAGCTGATCACACCCAAGCTCCTGAACCAAGGAAGATAGGCCCGCCACTTGATCTGCATCTCGCCACACCTCGCTGCCCGGGCGGCGGCCGTTTTTGGTTTTTGGTTTTTGGGTTTCTGGGGTTTTGGCGCCAATTTGGAGGCACACACTATTTCGGTGTAACCGGCATCCGGATATCGGAACGACATTGCCCTTTCCATGACCAAGCGGGCGGCCGAGGACGGGCTGCCCGAGGGATGGGTTCTGCAGCACTCCAAGTCCAAAAACAAGCCGTTCTATGTCCACGTAGCTACGCAAAAGACGCAGTGGCACCTGCCCACGCCGGCCAAACCGCCCAAGCAGGCCAAGCCAGACAAGGCGGCGACCAAGCCTGACCCGTTCTCGCTTGTGCCGCCGGCGACGGTGGCGGCTGTCACACGTGCGTTCCGCGTCGGCGCCGCGCAAAAGCAGCGCAACGGAAGCATACATGTCTTTCAGCCGTGGCCGCACCAAGTCCGCGCGGTCGCCAAGCTCGTGCACGCCGTCTCGACGGCATCGGACCCTGGCGCTAACTATTTGATTCAGCACAGCACGGGCTCGGGCAAGTCGGTGACGCTGGCGTGCTTGGTATCTTGGTATCTCAGTCCACGACCTCGAATGCAATCGAATGGTGTCGTAGGCGTACCAGCTGCTCTACACGTCGGATGCGTCTGGCCATGGCTTTCACACGGTCATCATCCTCGTCGACCGCATCAAACTTGACCAGCAGCTTGGCGACACTGTCGAAGCCTTCTTGCACCAAAACGGGATGGAAGCAATCTACCGTGCGGAGAGCATCGAGCACCTCAGCGCCATTGTGCGCAAGTCGGACGACCAAAAGGTAATTGTGACGACGACGCACAAGCTCAGCCAGCTCGTGAACGACAAGGTGCTTCTGGCACGGCTTTTGCATGCGTCGACGGCCAGCAGCAGCGCCACGTACAAGCATCTAGCGATCCTCGCGGACGAAGCCCACCGGTCGCACACGTCGTCGACGCGCGTCTCGATCGACACGGTGCTGCAAGCGCTCTCGACCGATGCATGCAAGACCATGGTATACAACTATATTCTCCTTCTATGGAATGTATTGTCTTATGCTGTGACTAGTATGTGGGCTTTTCGGCGACGCCAAGTGTCCAGGCGCTCGAGCTCTTTGGCTCGGGGGTCGACCCGCGCGCGCCATTCGATACGCACTCGCTCACAGACGCGATCGCCCACAAGCACATTGTCGACGTGCTGTCCCATACAACGTTTCTACAGAGTCCACTCGTGTCGCCGTCGATTTTTGCCAAAGTGAAGTCGATGATGCAGCACTTTGTTCGGCTCAAAACCAAGGTCATTTTTGGCAAGGTATTGGATTCGCTGCTTTCGTATCCGAATGCTATATAGTTATGAACGAGGTGTAGTGTCTGGTAGTCGTGCGCAGCCGCAAGGACGTTGTCGCGTACCACACTGCGATCCAGTCGTACATGGCGGCCCAGTACGTGCTTTGATTTCTGCAAATTTCTTATTTTTCGTATTTTTGAAAAGGAAGACAATGACACTTGTAGGGGATGGCCGACCCAAGTTTATTGCACGTTCAGTGCGTTTGACGGCCTTAGCGAGAAGCAGCTCAACACCACGTGCACCCTCTCGCTCGCTGACGTCATTGTTGTCTGTGACAAGCTCGACACGGGCTACAACGAGCCGGGGTTGATCGCCATGTACATTGACCGACCGCTTTCGCGCCACGCGCACATTGTGCAGCTGCTGAGCCGCTTGAACCGAGCACGCGACGGAAAGGCTCGTGTCCATATCGTCGACTACTGCAACCACCCGCTGACGGTACCTCCGTCATTTGAACATGTAGGGTTAGGGTACAATGCCCTAGATTTGGGCCGCGTTCGCCGCCTACGCCCACGCCAAGGTGCTCTACACGCGCAAGACGGACCGCCGACACTGGCGCCGTAGCTACGAGATGTCACGCCTCTTGCTTCTCGAGACGCTGCCGGGGTACCTCTTTCAAGGCACGGTGTACGTGGGGGAGGCGGCGCCACCGACACCATTGCAAGTCGCTGCAAGCGTCGCCATCTTGGATCCCGATGTGCAGAGCCAGATCCGATTTGGCCTCAAAACATATGTGGCCGCGTCCCAGGCACTAAGCACCGAGTGTCCGCTGCTGCCCGTCACGTGGGTGGAGGCGCTCAAGGGCGAGCTGGATCGCCAGGGAAGAGACAAGACAGACGTGCAAGAGGAGAGCACTGTGGCTGGTAGCGACGAGGCGGCCTTCGACATCATGTACGACGGACCGTTGCCGTTTGATTCGGAGGTACGGGTCGTGATCGTGTAGAATTATGTCATGTGAATGACGCTAGACACTGCGAGGGCGGTACGGCTACCTCAGTGCGCTCCTCTCTGGCGACACGAAAGCAACGTGCCAAGAGATCCGTGAGTCCCCCAAGGATGCTCTCGACAAGCGAATTGCCTCGTTGCGAGCGGCCCTGCAGAAGGGTGTGCCGTAAACCGTAAACCACAGCGCCGCTTGAGGTTAGGGTACTGTGTTGGCGTCCCGCAGCTTGGTAGAAATCAAGTTTCGTGCCAACATTACTAGCTAGCCAAATGTATAATTATGTGGTAAGCTCTCGCTGGGCTGTCCGACAGGCAAGCCTCGGCACCTGCAGCAAAATGCCTCGAGCAGCTCCGTCCTGTAAACCAGTTGATGATGAAGCATCATGAGGGCTAACGTAGTGCATCCTCTCGTCGTGCTGTCGTGCTGTGAGTGCTGGTGCGATGACCACCAGCACTCACCGCTTGCACAACCCTTCAACAGGATCGGACTGTGTGGCGTCTGAGAGGTCCGACTCATCCGGATACTGTCGTCACGGCCAATCGGAGCGCACCAACACTCACGCGTGTCAATTTGGCCGAGTGGCCGAGACAGATGCTCATTTCCACATTCACCACAAGAGCCATGAAGAACGCGCTGCCCTCGCACCTCTCGCACCAAGCCGCGCTTGCTGTCATCCTGCACGAGTCGAGCCCGCACTACGACGGCGTCCAGCGGGTCCGCGCGGCGCACGACAAGGCGTTCCAGCGCTGGCCGCCGCACATTAACCTCCTCTACCCGTTTCTGAACGCACCGAGCGAGCAACTGCCGATGATCGCCGAGCGGGTTCAGCGCGCCGTCGCCAACGTTGCGCCGATCGACGGCGGCTTTGCGTCCTTGAGCCAGTTCCAGCACTCGGCCCGGCGCGCGACCGTCTTTTTGGCACCGGACGCATCGACGCACGACGCGCTCGTGTCGCTCCAGGCCAAGCTCCAGGCGGCGTTCCCCGAGTGCGACCATGACAAGCGAGCGTTCGCGCCGCATTTGACGCTGGGCCAAGCGGAGGGCGGTGTCGCGGCCACGGCGGCGCTCCGAAGCGCGATGGAGACGCAGCTGCTCCCGCTGCCGCCGTGGGCAATTGCGAGCATCGTTGTCCTCGAGCGCAACGGACGCGACGACCCGTTCCGCGTCGTCTACGAAGTGCCACTGCGCGGGTAATTCCATCGCGAAAACAAATCATTTTGACAAAAATAATCCACTACTACATGGGTACATATCCCAAACAGATGAGTTCTACTTGATATAATCGTTTAGGGCACTAGAAAATATAACTATGCATATTTGAATGGTCTTTATTTCTCAAGTTGATACATTGAAAATATCAAGCGGCACTGTGCAGCATGGCGAACTTGCTTCACTGACAAGAAGACCACACGATACGCCATTCGACAAAACATGTCCTCCAACACACACTGCGTTGCCATCGACATTGGCACGTCGAGGGTTCGTGTCGGCGTCTGGCGCAACGGCCGCGTGCATGTCCTTGCGCTGGACGGCGCCGAGAGTCTTCCCGCGGTCGTAGCCTTTACAGACACACTCACGCTGTTTGGACACCAAGCCAAAGCATACGCCCAAGACCATCCAACGAACGTCGTCTCGAACGCCTTGCAGCTTCTTGGTCGCCGTATGAACGACCCAATCGTCCAAGCCGCGGTGGCGGGCGCGCCATTCCGAATCCGTGCGTCCTCGGACAAGACGCCGCTGATTTGTGTACAACACCAAAGAAGCGCGTGTACGTACTACCCACAAGAGATCATTGCCATGCTCCTCGAGCACGTCAGAACGTCGGCCGAATGCCACCTCGGCTCGTGTCTCGACCACGCGGTCGTGACTGTGCCGGCAACGTACACGACCAGTCAGCGCCAAGCCATCGTGGACGCTGCGACAATGGCTGGGTGGACTGTCGATCGACTTTTGAGTGCCACGACGGCAGCCGCCATCGCCCAAGTCCACGCAACCGGTGCTGACAAACGCAGGTTGCTGGTGGTCGACGCCGGAGCGAGCGCGGTCACAGCCTCGGTCGTGACGGCCGAATACGATACGTTTACTGCCCACGCATCGGCGAGCGACATGCATGTCAGTGGCTCGGCAATGGACGCGCGCCTCGCAGCGTACTGTATGTCTTCGTGGAGGCCTTCGATCATAGGCAACGATTTCGCCTTCTCTGCGTCAACCAAGCAACGCCTCCTTTCCGCATGCGAAGCTGCGCGCTGTGCTCTCTCGACGACCAACGAGACGCAGTTGTGCATCCCGCGGCTGTACCGAGACGAGGATGTGGCGCTTTCTCTCTCGCGCGAAAAGCTCGACGCTTTGGTCGACCATCTCATGGACAAAGTCGTCGTCCTTGTCCGCAAGGTCCTCCAGCAAGCAAAGTGCGTCAAAGATGATGTGGAAGATATCGTCCTTGTCGGCGGCGTCGCGTCGATGCCGTACTTGCAGTCGACACTCTCCAACGTATTTTGTGGCAAAACGGTCGCCTGCTTGGCTACGCCGGCGGTGGTCGCGGGGGCAGCGCTCTACGTCGCCAGTACGACCGCATCGAGCGACTCCGTCGTCCGTCCCATTGCCATCCACGACGCGCTCTTGACTCCTATTTGGGCGGCCGCCGCCGGCCACCACTGGAGAACAGTGTTCAATGTTCCCGTGCTCTCTGGCACGGCGACCCACACGTTCCAGTCGAATGGCAGCGGACCCTTTGTTCTGCTCATGTACGAGGGTGATGTCGGCTTCAGCGATTCGAGCCATCTCCAGGGCCGGTGGCACATCGAGACCTTGCGCAGCACCCGGTTCATTGACGTGGCGTTTGTCATCGACGAAGGCACGGGCGTTCTCCGCGTCGCCGCATTCGACAAGAGCACGCAGGAAGGCCTCTCCGTGGTCAACTCTGACAGCGCCACGTCACGACGAAAGCTGCAGCACCTTTGCGCTCAAGCGATGGCGCGGCATCACATAGCGCGACAGAAGGTCCTTTTGGCGCGGGCTAAGGCGGCTGCCAACGACTTTACGTATTCGCTTCGCAGTACGTGGCACAGCGACGAAGCTTCTCGCCACCGCGTTGGAGACCCATCGAGAGACGAGCTCGACGATGCGCTCGCAGCGGCCATCAAGTGGCTTCTTCTGAACCCAAATGCAACCATCGAAGAGTACGACGATGTCCGCGTCCAGCTGGAGACTGTGAGCCGCCGCGTGTTGGCGCTAGCCGCGGAACCTTCGTGGATGCTGCCCGAGTAGAAAAACCTGCGGTTGGCATGTCCCAATTGTCTTGCATGGCATCGTCCAAGCGTCATGTCATATGACATACCGGGAAGTAGAATGGTCAATTCGTCTAGATAAGTATAACATGTATCCGTACGCAGCTCACTCCCAACGACCAAGTGCTGGTGCCAACTCCCACGCATTCAGGCGTATGCGAAGTCTTTGTGTAATTATGAAGACAACGCGGAACACGTTCATATATAAAGATAACGCGAAACACGTTCATATGTATATCAATACATTCCCACTTTTCCCTTGTCCAGGTCTCCCTTCCGAGGCGTACGCACATGCTCACGAGCGTATGTGTCACTTGACGCGACGAGCGCCAAGCCATCGATCTCGTGCTTTTGTGTTCATTACATCCCAACAGCCGGTCCTTTGTGAGGCAAAACAAATCACCACGTCGTCTCCGCAACAGAACGATGCCGTCATGTTTCAAGTCTAAGTATCAAGTACGTACCATCTGTTTACCATCGACTTGATACATTTGGTCAACACGCGCGATCTCGTGCCACTTGCAGTGGTCCGCATTTCGAAGCTTTCGACGAACATGACAACCGACATTGCCATTGACATTGGCACGTCCAACCTGCGTGTCGGCGTGTGGCGCAACGACCGCGTCGAGCTCCTGGCCCTCGACAGCGACGGCGCGACGGCCCTGCCTGCGTACGTCGCGTTCACCGATGCCGGACGTCTTGTCGGGCGCCGCGCCAAAGCCTATGCTGCTACCGACGCCGCCAACGTCGTTTTTCGCATGACGCGCTTCCTCGGGCGCTCGATGCGCGATCGCGGCGTCCGCGCCGACTGCGACAAGGTGCCGTTTCAAGTCGTGGCCTCCAGTGACGACAAGCCCCAAGTGCGCGTGACATTAAACGGCCAACCCTCGACGTTCGACCTCGAAGAGGTCTTGGCCACGCTCTTGGAGCACACCAAGGCGATGGTCGACGAGCAGCTGACGGTGGGTTACGTGACGTTGACGGTTCCCGCCGCCTTTACCACGACCCAGCGCCACGCAGTGCTTGACGCTGCGGCTATCGCAGGGCTCAACGTGCGCAAGCTGTTGAACGCGCCGACTGCCGCGCTTGTCACCTACATGAACATGCATCCGCGAATGCGCGAGGAGCGGACCGTCCTGACGGTGACCGCCGGCGCCGGTTCGCTTGGCGTTGCCATCACGGTTGATGAGAGTGCTCTGAGCACGGCTGTGGCGACGTCTGGAAACGCGCACCTCGGTGGCCTCGACATTGACGAGCGCCTCGTGCGGCACTGCATCGCGGCCTTTGAACGCACCATCGGCTGCGACGTGCGCCTGTCCCCGCGTGGCTTGCAGCGACTGCGCACCGCGTGTGAAGAGGCGAAAATCGCGCTCTCGACAGCGACGACGACCACCGTCGAAGTGCCGCGTCTTTCGGGCGAGAACGACTTGGTTGTCGTTGTCTCGCGCGACCAATTGAATCAGCTCGCGCGCGAAATGATGGCGCAGCTCACGGCGCTTGTCGTCAAGGCTCTCCAAACGGCCAAGCTGGATAAGAACAACATTGACGACATTGTTCTTGCCGGCGGCCTCGTGCGCATGCCGCTGCTGAAGACGACGCTCGTCGACTTGTTTCACGGCCAGCGCGTCCGCTTGGTGGGTAACCCAGATGAAGCGATCGTCACTGGCGCGACCCTGTACACTGCCAATGCGACCCTGCGCGCCACCGGCCGCGATGTGCTCGCCTGTCAGTGCCTTCCGACGCCCTTCTGGGTCGCGACAGAAGCCCGACACCCGCAGTACCTTGCTCGCGGCGCAACAGACTACTTCTCCACGACAGAGGATATGTTCACGACGCAAGCCAATCAACCCGACATCACCCTGCTCGTCTACGAAGGTCTTCTTGGTCAGCGTGACACGAGCCACCTCCAGGGCAAGTGGCGTGTCGGGCCACTGCCGAACGGTATCCCCCGAGGCGCGACGGTCCAAGTGGGGTTTCAAATCTGTCACGCCACCGGTACGCTGCAAATTAGCGCCACCGTGGACGACAAGCCAATTCCAGCGACCAACGAGTTGGCCCCGACGACGCGCGGTCGCATGTGCCGCCTCATCCAAGAAGCTGCGACGCGTCGCCAAGTTGACGGGAGACAGCACATCCACGCAGCCCGCGCAGCTGCCAAAGCTGCCGCCACCGAGTACACCATGCGTCTCCGCGAGGCGTGGCATGGCGATGCCATCAGCCGCAACCGTGTGAGCGAAGTGACGCGGGACGAGCTCGATGACGCGCTCGCGCTTGCACTCAAGTGGCTCATCTTGCATCCGAATGCGAATACGGTCGAATACGAAGTCGTACGCTTCAAACTCGAAGCTGTCGGTAGCCGCGTGGTCGAAGCCCTCTATGACATGGACGCAGCCCCGTCTTGGCGCCTTCCGGCTTATTAACTTGCGTACTATACTTTCTATCTATGACCATGTCCTTGCGGGTCCGTTTTGCGCGAGCAGCTAGGACCTGGCACTAGCACCGCCATGATGGTCATCCCGATGATGATCACGATGGACTGGCAAGCAGTGTGATGGGCAATGTGAGACGAGCGACACGGTGCCGGCGCTCGTACTGTGTACTGACCAGCGCTTGCAACTGGCTATTCGATATCGCAATTGCTATGACATACAGGAAGGACAAGTTGTCCTTTGCCAAAGCTACACATTCTGTGCACTCTCCGCTGGACCCGAAAACATGACAACCTGCTGGCTTTTCTGCCGCCGAAGAAACCGCTTGGTCGGCCGCGGTCTGTGATTGGTCGAATTAGGCCAATGGCATCGGAGCGCCAAAACGGAAACCAGCCGACGATGAGCGTGCCCGAAGCCGAGCGCCTCGACCAGCTCCGCGCCCGGAAGCGCCGCAACTCGCACGCATGGCGGCAGCGGCAGCGGGTGCGCCTCCATCTTCTATGGTCATAGCGCTCATCGCCTGCACTGTAGAGCTCCATGGAGACGTTGCGCCGACAAATGGCGGACCTCGAACGCTACGTCGCGGGCCTGCACCTCGTGCTCGGGAGCGCGCCCGACCGCACGCAGAACGTCGATCTCTCGCGCAGGTTCTCCAACCTCCTCATCGAGAAAGAGTTTCTCAAGCGCGAGACGGCGACGCTCCAGGCTGCGCTCGACCGGCGCAACTTGTTCTTGCGCGCGGTGCAGCCCTCGATCGTACGTCGCTTTATCTTGATTGATGCATCCTCATGGCAATGGATGTTATTAGCCACGCTGCGACTTGTCAGATCCACGTATCCAGGACGACATGTTCCTGTTCGACCACCTCCAAAACGTCATGCGCCACGTCCACCACGATATCCCCGCGGCGCTCGCCAGCGGCAACCCGAGCGTCGACATGATCCACGGCTGGCGCGCCGAGTCGATCGAGGACGGGCTCAAGCTCATGTTTAAGCTCGAGCGCACGGTCGGCTTGCTGCACCTCGACGACGTGCGCTACATGAGCGAGTACCACTGGGCGCAGCGCAACCAAAAGGAGACGTACCTCAACATCAACAAAAAAGCTGTCGACTTTTCGGTACGACAGATTGTCCATCATGTCGTTGATGTAAAATATTGTCGTCTAGGTCATTCGCCGGCCGCAGCAAGATTTGAGCATCGTCGAATGCATTCTCAAGGACCCGGACGCGGTCCGCGTCATGATCCAGTTCCAGACGTATTTGACCAACGGTTTTGACTACTGCACGATCAACCTCTCGCCCGACTTGAATCGCATGACAACCTTTATGCTGTACGCCTAAATTCAAGGTGGTCTAGTTGAACAAAATGTCACCGTAGGGTCTCGGTGCGCGTGGCGCATGGCGAGATTGTCACGACAGCGGTTGGCGGCGGCACGGCGATTGTCGACTTGCCCAACGCACTGCTTCTGCGCGGCCTCGTCTCCCAGCTCAACCAATGGGAAAACGTCCTCCGCGCCCATTACGGCCAACCGGAAACCGAGTCGGTGAGCCCTCGCTAGTCGACTTGACCGACTAGCGACTGGTCGCGTCGACAATTTTGAACGTCCATCGTCCTCTGTAACATGTGTGCATTTGATCTCTATCTCGCCGCAGGGTCGCCTGCGCCTCTTTGTTGCAAACACGGAGCTTCAGTACAGCAGGCGTTGTCGATAGGAATACGAGTTGGTCGCCGGCGCTGCAGACGGCTGTTAAATGACTTGCGCACATCGCGAATCTTAGACGTGTACCTAGTGTTGTCATGCACTTTTGTGTCGTGTTGAAGCGACTTTGATAGGCTTCAAATGCTTGCAAAAGGGTCAACCGAATACTTGAGATGCAGCTAAGCGTAGCTCGGCGATCGAGTGTTCCAGGTGCGAAGTCGATGGCGGTGGTGCCATGTCTTGTTGGAGCCAAAGCAAGGACTTCACGCAATGGTGCCACAGTACCAGCTAAGTTTTTACTGTTCACGCACTTAGTTGCTAGTGCCGTACTCACACGTGAGGTCGTATGTATATCGATGGCTGGTGCCATCACCAAGGGCATCAATGGCCCTCTCGTTGTCGTCATCTTGGACAGGTTGTCCATATCCTCCACACTAAATCGAGAGCAGCAGACTATTTCTCCTCCTTTGTTGGTTTCAGGGACTTTTCAAAGCGACGCCATGTCGAGCGCGACGCTCGTGCACCGGTACACGCTGGTAGACCCGTTTGTCGATGCGACGTCTCGGTCGTAGGCACGTGTTCGGGCTCAAGGCCAACGTCGCCAACGCAGTTACGTACGTCGACGACCAGATGGTCGCGTACCCCGCGGGGCACAGCCTCGTGGTCTACGGTATCGACGACAAGAAGCAAAAGTTCATCACGTGCACCGAAAACACCGAGGGCATCACGTCGCTCTCCGTGTGCCCGAGTCGCCGGCACGCTCGGTCCTCGTAGTCTCTTAAACTCATAGACGACTAGCTTTATCGCGATCGCCGAGAAGAGCGAGCGGGGCGTCGTCAGCATCTACGACCTCAAGACGCTCAAGAAGCGAAAGGTGCTCACGACCTCCGAGAGCCTCAGCAAGATCTACGTGAGCATGGAGTTTAGCGCTGACAACCAGCTGCTCTTGACCCAAGGCGGCCCCCCGGACTGGACACTTGTGTGCTGGAACTGGTCCAAAGGCAAAGCTGTCGCGAGTATGAAGCTCCACAATGCGGCACCGGCGGGAAACGCGGCCGCAAACCCGAGTGCCAACCCGCAGTACGTGACGCAGTGCTCGTTCTCGAACGTCGACCCGTCGATCGTGTGCTGCACGGGCATCAACTTGATCAAATTCTTCCGCATCGTCGACACGGCGTTCCGGCCCATGCCCATGGCCCGCGTCGACGCCACCAACCTCCTCTGCCACACGTGGCTCAAGCAAAAAGAGGACGAAGTCGTCGTCGGCACCGCCGCCGGCGACTTGCTCCTCTTTCGCGTACCAAATTCTGGAGCGGAAGGTATCGCACTAAGACGACCGTTTCTTAGGCCGGTGAGTTTGTGTGCCGGCTCCTCGCGTCGCCCGGCGACTCGCGCAGCATCGTGTCCATGGTCTCGACGAGCAAGGGCATCGTCGTCGGCAGCGACAAGTCGATGGTAGTCATAGGCGCCGATATGAAAGGGTCGAGGCGACAATCATGTGGTCTCTAGGTGAGCTTGTTCTTGGTCAACAGCGACCGGAACGCGCCGGCGACCGAGAGCTTGACGTTCTCCAAGTCGATCAAAGTCGAGAGTGCCATTTCGCGCGTCGTCGGGCTCACTGTGAGTCCGAACGAGGACATGGTCGTCGCCGCGCTCGCAAGCGCGCAGATCTACATATTCCCGTACCAAATGAAAGACTCGTTCAAGACCGAGGAAATCGAAGCGCTCGTGACGCCGTTCCATCGGCCAGGCGAGAACGGCTACTTGCACGTGACAGGCATGGACATTTGCGTGCGCAAGCCGACGATTGTCACGTGTGGCCTCGACAAGACGGTTCGCGTACGTCAACCTTTGCATGTTTCAAACATTTCAATGTTTCAATGGGCAAAGTCTAAGGTATCGAGTAGGTGTGGAACTACATCGACCGGACGTGCGAAGTCTACAAGCAGTTTACCGAAGAAGCCCATAGCGTCTCCATGCACCCAAGTGGCCTCCATATTCTCGTGGGATTTGCCGACAAGCTGCGGCTCATGAACGTGCTCATGGACGACATTCGCCCGTTCAAGGAGTTTACGATCAAGGCGTGCCGCGAGTGCCAATTTAGGTAACAACTATACTTTCTTGTTCGAAAGTGCACAAGTTGTCATCTAGCACGGGCGGCCATCTCTTTGCGGCCGTGAACGGCAACACGATCCAAGTGTTTTCGATGAACACGTGCGACTTGATTGCCAACCTCCGCGGCCACAACGGCAAAGTCCGCAGCTTGTACTGGAACTATGACGACTCGGGCGTCATCAGCGCCGGCATGGACGGCGCTGTGTACCAATGGGACCTCGACGAAGCCAAGCGCGACGGCGAGTTTGTTCAGAAAGGTGTCCCGTACTTTTCGGCCGTCTGCAACCGCGAAGGTACATATTTTTGTTTATATGCGACAAAAATTATAACTTATTTTCTCCAATACAGGCACGTCGGTGTTTGCTGTCGGCGCCGACAAGATGCTCAAGGAGATCGAGTTTCCCGCCTCGACGGTATTTGTGAAATGTGTGTTGTGGCACGGACGCGCAACCCTACCCCTAAACGATCGTAGCTCTCGAAAGAGTTTAACGCGGAAGTGACACTCGGGCAGATCGTGCTCTCCAACTCGCAGCGGATGCTGTTTGCGGGGGCCGTCGAGCCCGACAAACTCGGCACCGTTCGATCGTACAAATTTCCGCTCACGGGCGAATTTACCGAATTCCAGTGCCTCAGCGGTCCCAGTACGTCGAAATAACTCGGTATTTTGTTCAACACTATGGGCCTAGTCACGCGCATGCGCATCTCGTTCGACGACTTGTACCTGCTCGTGTGTGGCGAAGACGGCGTCGTGTGCATTTTCGAGATCCGCGACAAGGAAGGTCGCGCGCGGGCCAAGGACGGCCGTGAAAACACAGTGTTTGCCGAAGAGATCCTCGTCACCAAGAGCGACCTTGAAGAGAAGAACACGTCGATGGTCGAGCTCAAAAACAAAGTCGACGAGCTCACGCTCCACAATGAGTACCAGCTGCGGCTCAAAGACATGAACTACAACGAGCACCTCAAGGAAGTCACGGAAAAATTCACGCACGAGATTGAGCAAGAGAAGAACAAATTTGAGCTCTTGCGCGAAGACAAGAACGACATTGAGATGGAGTACGAGGAGCGCGTCAAGCAAATGGAAGAAAAACACGAGCAGCA